AAGTTCAAAGTGCCAGGCTCTAGGGGCTGGGTGAAAGCCCCTCAACCTTGGGTTCCAGCTCTGCCTCCTGCTCCGGGCCCACTGGTGCTAGAGGTGTTTCTTCACTCAGACAGCTGCTGGCTGCTGAGGCTGAGAAGCCCCAAGGTTGAAAAGGAAAAGGGCACAGTCCTGATGTTACAAACCACACGGCAGGACATTAACTTAAGTCCATTGTAAGTCCCAAAGTCGGCAGAGCATAGCAGGCTGCTGAGCAGTGACACGGCTAAATGCAGGGTCCAAGCATGCCATAGGCTAGAGACCATTCGCAAAGCTTCTCCTTATATACAGGAAGCAGACCACATCCCAAAGGCAGCTACTCAGCTGCTTGTGGTAGATCCCACTATGAAGTTGATTGCCAGTCTCAACATGGTGAATAACTACCACTAGCTGCCCAGCCACTCAATCAGGCTCAGCCAAGGTGACACACAAACATAACTACCACAATTTTCTTCATTCTTCTTTGCTCCAGATAAGAGGGGACCAATAGTTGTATCTTAGATGGTCACTCGAAAGAAAGCTGCAATGTTTAACTAAAAGGAAGTCTAGCCGATGTCGGCCATAAAAAAGCTTCCTCCTCCCTTATTTTTAAGCATCCACCTAAGTGCCTGTTTTTCTGAGATCTGTCTTTCCACCCTCGTCCGGCACATCCAGAAAGATGTCTATCTTCCTCCAGTGACTCCATCAGGGACAAGCAGTTAACGATCTACAATGCACTCACAGCTATAAGCTGACAAAGGAAGTGAATAAGTAGGTGAAAATGAAGAAATAGCTGACCAAGAGAGATGGGCAGGGAAAAATTTAACAAAGAGTAGGAGGCAGGTATCACAAACTAAAATATGCCAATTTGGTCATGTACGATTCATAAACACTGTTTGGTAGTCCCTTAATAAGTCTGAAGGTTAGCCTTTCCCCTAACCTCACCACCAAATTATAATGAAAGCAACTAATCCCAAATTACACCATGCCTAGAGTTTCAATAAACAAATATTAGTAAATAAGCCTAAACCACTACATGCAATCTTCTCTGTAGAGTTAATGAAATCCCAGCTCTCTGTCCTTTGAGTCAAAGTTTCATCGATTCAGGATGGGCAGAGTCCAGAAATAGAATTCTGTTTTCCTTGCTGTTGGCCTTCAAGCTACCTAAAGTCCTCCAGTCTGTCATAAGGCCATGTATGTGGGGATGAAGCTTAGGACATCTCCTTACAGGCCCTGCGACAGGCTTGGTAGAATTCTTCTACAAGGTCTAGGCAAACTAGAGAACTCTCTAAAAATATTTTGGTCAGTCCACACATCTTGAATGCCTTTTTAATTTCACCAAAGAGAATTTATTTCTAACATTCATCTGACTAATTAACAAGCCACTAATTGCTAGGATAACAATGAGTTTCTGATTTTTCCTATGCATTTGGTGATAATGAAGATACTATGACCTTCCCAATATTGTGCTAGATGACTACCCTTGGAGTGTGAATTCCTGATCACTGACACTAGCTGTCCCTGAGTATAACTTCAGCTCACACATTGAAATGTGACACTGTCTATACTGAAGTATTGTGAAGTAAATTACAGGCATAACCATAGGAGGAAACAGGAAGGATTAGAACAAGGACTCATCTGCAATCATTGATCACTTGCCATGTTCCTAAATCTTATCTATATTCCTAAATGTTGTTACTGGCATCACTTCTCATATATTTTCAGATCCATTCACTCATTTAAAAAATATTTATGGACTGCCTACTATGTACCCAACGACCATTTGGGATATATCATCTGCCAGATAGTTTCAAGGGGAATTAACTATACTAAGAGAATGTTAAATAGTCACTGGCTGAAGCACTTCACAAGTTTTTGGAAAAGCTAAATAGTCCTTCCTTGGCATGAAGATGTGAAAGCTCCTAAAGGCTCCATTTCACCCTCGAGGAGGAAGCAGGCATTTGAAGAGTCTGTTTCTGTTGTTGTTGTTGTTATGTGCCATTGAGTCTGACCCGACTCATAGCGACCCCTCCTTGGGTTTCCGAGACAGCATCACTACGGAAGTAGATTGCCCCATCTTCCTTCTGAGGAGTGGCTGGTGGGTTTGAACCACCAGCCTTCTGGTTAGCAATCAAGTGCCTTAGGCACTACGCTACCAGACCTCCTATAAAATAGCAATTGCTTAAATTTCCCTGCCCCACCCCCACGGTGGGGTGGGGGCGCCGTATAAGCATTATAAGGTTATATAAGCATTTACTGTATTTTCTTTAAGAAATCATGATAATTATATCATTAGGCTACCTTTACCTTAACTGTGACTTCGTGCATCGTAAAAATATTGTGATTAAGAATTCTTGACGTTGCTTGTTAGTCCAGAGGTCAAACCAATGACTTATAAGGGCAACTCTTTCCTGATAGAGCTATTAAGAACAAAAAATGATGTTTTACTGTAGAGTGCAATACATTCTTAGTTGCTAAGCAATCCTAAAGCAATCTGCTACCAATGTCCCAGGGAATATTTGCATAGCACATTCAGTTCACAAAGCACTTTTATGCATGTAGTGGGGGTCTTTGGCTTCCACTTAAACTGTTTTTATCCTGGGATACAGACATGCCTTGGCTTGTTGGGTGGGCTGGCGAGAAGGGTTGGAAGGGGATGTAATTACAGATGGGCTTAAGGAGGGGCCTCTCTGGAAATCAAAGAGGTAATGATTCCTGGCTCTTGTTTCTACTTAATGTGGCTTGGGGAAATATATATTCTGTACATTTAATCATGAAAACACATACAGGTTACATTCATTTCATTGTGAAAACAAGGCCATATGAGGTAGGTATTATTTTTACTAAGCCACAGCCCTGGGTCTTCACAGAACTTACCCAGCTGAAACTTCATAAATATTGCTAAGTAGTCATGGTAAGTGTGTCTCAGGAAAGACATACGCCAAGAATCAGCATTCTTTCAAACCTGAGTTTCAACCCAGCTTTTGGGCAATCTGCTTCCATAGAAATACTGCCTCAGAAACCCAAGGAGGGGTAGCTATGAGTCGGAAACAACTCGATGGCAGTGAATTTGTGTTTTTTTCTGTTTTGTTCAAATAAACCTACACAAGCTCACTGCATTCATAATAGGTCAGGCTTCAGCCCCTGCCCTGGCTTGTCCCCTTGTGAACGGGCCTGAACCACACCGTGAGCTCTAAGGACCTAGTTGGCCTTCTCCGTTAAGGTTTGGCAGGACTGCCTTATGCCATTCAATAACTACTTACTGCCTTACCTTTCAAAGGAGGGGATACCTCCAGGCCATATGGAACCATCCACTTGACACAGGAGGGAAGACGTTCACAGAAGCACACTGAGGAACATACATAAACACTGCCCCAACCAATGCCACTAAAACACCTTCTTCTCTCCTCCCCCATTACAGTAACCCAGAGTGTGTCCAAGAGAGCTCGATTTTGATCCTAGGGGTGCAGAGTGAAAGGAGAGGCGGATCTCCTGGAAGGTAGGAGTTGGGAGCTGGGGTGAGAATAGACTGTCTTTGAGGCAGACAAATCTAGGTTTATTTCTGTGTAAAGAAACAAATTTTAAGAAAAACTAAATTATTAGAGAATTATTTTTTAATATGGCAACATGAGACTCTCTATATCAGAGTAAAATTAACCATATAAATGAAACTGGTCTTATTCTACAGTATATAACTCACCTGTCTATTTAATGACTTGTTGCTGAAAGGGGTCCAGGCACTGAATCTTGTGTGGAAGCTCTCCATTTCCAGGCTTTTCCTGGGAGACTCCCCAGCGGACATCTCAGCAGTCAATGAACTACAGCTTCATTTCAATAGATATTTAAGATCACCTGGAAACATCCAATATATTAATGGTGTCCTTACAGGAATTATATAAATTCATTTATAGATTTCATATATATATATATGGAGAAGAAGACCTGCTGGTACAATGGTTCAGAAGCTCTTGGCTGCTAACTGAAAGGTCGGCCGTTCAAATCCACCAGCCACTCTGTGGGAGAAAAGACCTTGAAATCTGTTCCTGTAAAGATTACAGTCTAGGAAACCCTATAGGGCAGTTCTACTCTGTCCTATAGGGTCACTTTAAGTCAGAATCAACTTGATGGCACAACAACAACAACAACATATATAGTTGTGTGGAAGATAATCCATACAGATACACAAAGAGAGTCCATGAGTGCCAAATTTTTTAAATTACTCTGCCCTCATCTCCTTGAATCCAAGCATGAATCTAAGCTGGAGTTGTTTTACTTTGCCAGGGAAATGGGAGGCAAAAAGAAAAATTCCAGGAAGTGGTATTAATGACTGGGGAATTGATATTATTATTAATTTTAATCAGCCAGGAAGACTGACTTTTTCATTCCCAAGAAAGCAAGAATCTGAAGTGCTTGAAGAAATCTTTGATTCCACCCTGCCTATCTTTTGGGGACACAAGTTGGAACATGTAGGGAAAAATATTAGGCTAACATATTAGTTATCTTGAGAGTCCCTGAGTGGCACAAACAGTTAAATGTGCAACTACTAACTGGAAGACTGACAGTTAGAACATACCCAGAGGTATCTCAGAAGAAAGACCCGGCAATCCGCCTCTGAAAGGTCACAGCCTTGAAAACCCTGGGGAGCAATTCTACTCTGCAACACATGCGGTCATCGTGAGTTGGAACAGACTGGACAGTAACCCGTTTGGTTTTGCTTTTATTAGTTTTCTATTGCTGCATAATGAATTACCCCAAAAATTAATAGCATGAGACAACAAACATTCATTATCTCAAAGTTTCTGTGGGTCAAGAGGTCAAAGGCAACTTAGAGGAGTGCCCCCCGCCTCAAGGACTCTCAGAAGCAGAATTAAGTGGTTGATCAGGACTGCAGTCCTATCTGAAGGCTCTGAAGTTCATTCCCATGGTGGTTGGTAGGATTCTGTTCCTCATGGACTGTTGGATTCAGGGCCTCAGTTCTACTGGCTGTTGGCTAAAGACTTCCCTCAGTTCCTCCTTACATGAGCTTCTCCACAGGGGAACTTACAAAATAGCTGCTGGCTTCTATCAGAGGGAGCAAGTGTGGTGGCTATGTTTGTGTGTCAGCTTGGCTGGGCTTGGTTCAGTAGCTGGGCAGCTGGATGTAGTAGTCCCATAATGAGACTGGTAATCAACTCCATGGTGGAATCTACTGTGAGCAGATAAGTAGCTGCCTTTGGGTATATGGTCTGCTTCCTGTATATAAGGAGAAACTTTGAGAATGGTCTCTAACCTATGGCACGCTTAGACCATGCATGTAGCCGTGTTATTGTTCAGCAGCCTGCCATGCTCTGCTGACTTTGGGACTTACAATGGACTTAGATTAATGGCCTGCTGTGTGGTCTGGTAACATCGGGACTGTGCCATTTTATTTGTCAACCTTGGGCTTCTCAGCCTCAGCAGCCAGCAGCTGTCTGAGTGAAGAAAACCCTCTAGCTTCAGTGGGCCAGGAGCTAGAGGCAGAGCTGAAGCCCAAGGTTGAGGGGCTTTCACCCAGCCCCTAGAGCCTGGCACTTTGAACTCGGACTTAAAGCCTCCAAATTTTAAGGATAAACTCCTGTTTGTTAAGGCTATCCTATTTGTGGTATAATTCTGTCAGAGTGGCACCAGGTAACCAGCACAGCAAGTAAGATAGCAAGGGAGGGTACACAACAGGGAAGCCACAGGCTATTTGTAACCCAACCTCAGAAGTGACATCCCATCACTTCTACTATATTTTATCAGAAGCAAGTCATTCACTCCAGCCCACGTTCGAGGGAATTACACAAGGAGCTCTGGTAGCATAGTGGCTAAAGCACTTGACTGCTAACCAGAAGGCTGGCGGTTCAAACCCACCAGCCACTCCTTGGAAGGAAGTTTGGGCAATCCTACTTCCGTAGTGATACTGCCTTGGAAACCCAAGGAGGGGTCGCTATGAGTCGGGGCCGACTCAACGGCAAACAACAACAACAACATAGACAGGAGTACAGTCTATCACAGTTAACCTTTTGGGTCAGTTCCCTTGCTTTCCCATGTGCAGAACACACTTACCCAAACCCCAGAGTTCCATCTACTCCTATTTTGAGCTCAGAGTCCAGAAGATAAGAATGATTCACAATAGTTTCTATAGGTCCAAACATAGATCCTCTTGATCCAGAGACCTATGAAGTAAAAGGCCCTTGTTGCTATACATTATATACGTATATGATGGAACAGGGAAAGCACAACCACAATAACTATTCCCATTTGTAAAGGGGAATATGACAGACATACAGAAGAGCCAGTTTATAGCAGTTCTGAAATGCTGTTGCAGAAGGCTGGACCCAATGATCATTTTTCATGTCA